CAGACATATTTATGAAAACTTGAAAATTGACGATCAACCAATGCGTTACAAAATACGCTATTTTCAAAACTTGAATTTCATTTTTTTCTCATGTTCATGCATCTTAATGTCGAGATGATCAATTTGAAGATATTTTAGCATCAATTTGATCAATTTTTGAGGTAGTCTCAATTTTGATTGTTTAGAGCCTTAGCTCTATATAAACTTTTCCTGTACTAAAAAATAGGGCGTACAAGAAAAATATATAAAGCAAATATTTTTAAAATATAAAATAATAAAAATATAGTATTTTATATATTTTTATAGGGAAATGACCTTGTGAAACCCTCCCACACTCATGTGTGTAGACCCTAAATGATCACCATTAAATTTGACACATATCTCCAAAAAAGTCAAGTCCCACACCCATGTGATAACTTTCCAGAGATCTATGTCAAATTTAACAGTGATCATTTGGGTCCTACACACATAGGTGTGGGAGGGTCTCATAGGGTCATTACTCATTTTTATATGTTGCAGGATAATATCAAGTATATAAACCTAAAATTTTATCGCAATATGATTTATAAAAAAATAATTAAAATTTAGATAGCGATATATACTTTGAACCACCCAATGAAGATTTAACGGCTATATTATATATATATATATATATATATATATGACCATAAATATCTACATATTGGTTTAATACAAATCGCAGTTAAACCATTAACACGATTAGAACTCAACAATTTTGTCCTTGTATGCCTAAGAGATACAAGGCATAATCGGTTATCTGATTCACTACTTGGAATGGTGGAATCCAGTCTGTGTAGAGGACCAATATATTTTAATTGTTTTCCTAATTATTATGTATCTTTAATAGATCTTAATATTTTAAATGTTTATGTATTGACCATGATTGTGGTAGAACTATTTCTGACCATGATATAGTTCTGGGGACAATAGTATTAGATTTTTCTATATTTGTTTGAAATAATATAGTTTGTCCTTTCGTATCTACTTGAAGTACATTAGGACATAAAGTAGTCATAACTTTATAATATATTCGATATATTATGGCAATATTTTGGGATCCTATTCTTATGTCAAATCCTTATGTTTTCAGGTTCAAGGATAAAACATTTAAAATATTAGGATTTGTTACAGATACAGAATAATTAGAAAAACAATTAAAATATATTGGTCCACTACACAAACTGGATTCCATATTCCAAGTAGTGAATCAGAGAACCGATTATGCCTTGTATCTCATAGCCATACAAGGACAGAATGGTTGAGTCCTAATCGTGTTAATGGTTTGACTGCGATTTGTATTAAACCAATATGTAAATATTTATAATTCTTATTTTTATGTTCTTGTAATATTTTATTTGATAAGAGTTGAAAGTCTTCCTGGTTCGTAGTAACAGACAAAGTTTGTTCTACTGTTTTTATAGCATAACCTATTTTTAAATCAAATGTTCCTTTTTTGTAAATATTAGAGATGGGTACTTTTGGTATATTCCAATTTTGTATTTGATTTTCAATACCATTTATCACTACTTCTTCTTTGTTCTTAATTCGTAGAGTATTACTAGTTTGACTAGCAGCTTTATCTATGAGATTTTTAATAAAATTTTCAATTTGTAGGTTGCGGATGAGTGTTATCTGGACAGTCCTCTTTGACTACCTCTTATGCCTGTTTCGACCTCAGCGGCTCTTCTGGCTTTAACGGTCTTTAGACTGGGTGTCTGAGCGTCTCTAACCCCAACTCCTCGGACCAACTTTCTTAAATGGATAATTTTCTTAGATTTCCTAAGATGAAGTTGTTTTTCAAACTAATGATCCTCTACGAACTATGAACAGTGAACAAGTGTGAACTGGTATGGCTCTGATACCATAACGCACCAAGATCAACCAGTTTCAACCAGTTTGCGACTATTTAGTGTACAGAGTATAATTACAAATCTATTTAAAACTCCATCTTAGGAACATGAACAAAGTATAATTATAATTGATTAATTGTTGTAAGATAATAAAAGAATAAAACGATTAGAAAGACAGCAGAGATTAAAGAAAAATCTAAGACAATCCACGACGTATGCGTTAAATTCCTAATTTTATGACTGAATACTATTTTAAATTGCATGAAGAATAAACAGAATGATCATATAATAAACTATTGCAACTCACTGTTTACAAATACAATAACTGGAGAAGATACTCCATTCAGTAGGACAGTAAGAGGGAAGAGAAGGGATATTACAATCACACATTTAAAATTATAGAGTAATAGAGGTTCCCAACTGTATGTCGTTTATAAGGGACTGTTATGAAAGCAAACCTACTGTATGAGAATTTACAGTAGTAAAGAAAGGAGAAAGAGAAAGAGATGAGGAAGAGATGACTCATGAATGTGATGAAGAAGGTCTTCTCGTATGGCATCCTTGAAACTCGACCTGCTTTTTTTGTTGAAGGAGGTGGTATTTATAGATGCAGGGATGCGTCGATGTGCAAC